TGGCGGTCAGTTTCAGCAGCGGCTGAATCTGGACGCCAGTTCCAACTTACATACAGATTCAACTTAAGAACAAACCTACAGTCCCTATCTTGTACGTAACCGGGGGACTACCTGTATTGTGCTATAAAAGCAAAGCTACACCACCCTACTAACCTCAAGCTGTAGACTCATTTAAGAATGCAGGGGAAGTATAATTTACCAGTGCCTCTACTTCAGCAGCGGCTGAATCTGGACGCCAGTTCCAACTTACATACAGATTCAACTTAAGAACAAACCTACAGTCCCTATCTTGTACGTAACCGGGGGACTACCTGTATTGTGCTATAAAAGCAAAGCTACACCACCCTACTAACCTCAAGCTGTAGACTCATTTAAGAATGCAGGGGAAGTATAATTTACCAGTGCCTCTACTATGGATATCCATCTCCTCTGGGTTGGAGATATAGGAGTGAAGTGTAGGGTGTACCAGCCTGGGGAAACATTAATTCCACCTAAGGCATGCAATGTATAAAATCAGCATAAGTCTCAGACTTTTTTTTTACCTAAATATCATGCTGTCAGCCAATGCTTGATAGTTACATGTAAACCTGTGTAACTTAAGATCAATATACAAGTGATTCTCAGTGTGCATAATTCAGCAGCACAACCATGCTGGAGTAAACTGCTAGCTTGTAAAGAGCTCTCGGAATCATATCAACAGATCAGAATCCAAAGGTAGCTTAGGTGAGTCCTCTGCATTTTTCCAGGGTATTCTAAAGAGTTATTTGGAAGAGCTTCATCTTAAGTGTATTACCTGTTCAAGGTGTAAGCAGAAAAGAGCAGTCCCAAGTTTTCCCTTCTGCACCTAAAGTGGGCTGCTAAGTGATGTATTGTCCCAGTACTTTGCAACTTTTATTTAAAACACATAAAGCTGTTTTACTCATGGATATTTTTGTTAAAAGTCATAGATCCCAAGCCATAAAGATTCACAGGCCATGATTCATACTATATACACAAGGTGCAGGACCTGGGACAACCCCTTGAACTCATCGCACTTCTTCCTGCCCTCATTCCGCTCCTTTCCCAAGCAATGCTGGAATTTGGCAAGGCAGAATAGAGAGGGGACAGTCATACTGCTGCCAGCCCCACACCACCACCAAGTCCTGTATATCTCAAAGTGAAGGACCCAGGATGACTGCCCCAAACTGTCCAGTGAATAGGAGGGCTCTGCTGGCAGGCTTCCTACCTGTGTGGAAGTGGCTAACATGTCCCTGCAACTCCTGAGGGAAGGCTAAGGAATTGTAATGTTCACATGGTTTTTATATGTAAATTAAATTTTTTAAACATTTAATAAAATATCTTGAATGAGGTCTTAAAGCAGGCAGAGAATTACTTACATGCGTTGCTTCCTTAAAAAGATCTGTATTTAAGCAAATGACTCTTAGACCTCAAGCAGGTTTTGCACAAGCTTCACGACTAGCGCACTTAGCTGAAATGTTGCAAGTGCATTTACAAACCTGCAGCAAGCACAAAATGTTGCTACTTCTTGGTGTTCGGAAAGCAAAGTAGTATTTATGACTTCACTTGGCTAGCACAGTAAAGTGAGCTGGGTATGAAAGCTGATGAAAGAATGGACCTGAGTGGGCCAGGTCACACAATAGATTGTCTGGTCTAAAGTAAAAAGTGGCTGGTAAAATATGTTAAACATATTGTTCAGGTTAGCCATGGTGGAGTGGGGGCTGGACAGTGGATCCCAGAGCACAACATTGCCCACCCTGTCCCAGGAGACCTATCCCTAGACACTGCTTTGTCTACCAAATCCATGCTAGGAAGTAACCCGCTTCTCCAAGCTGGGTACTTTAAAACCAGCGCTGGAGCCACGCCCCCCACTCTACCCTGCAGGCTCGCCCCTTCCCGCGAGGACTATCCTCCCATCAGGCCTGAGAGGAGAATGCCGATTTACGAGCCCGGAAGTGACCGGATTTCTGGTCCTAGGCAGAAGTAGCCGTTGGCCGCGTTCATCGATGGCGCTGGTGACGTGCACTGCGGCGGGCGGTTTGAAGGCGTTGAGCGGTCGGGCGTTGTTGTTGCCTACCCTGCAGGCTCGCCCCTTCCCGCGAGGACTATCCTCCCATCAGGCCTGAGAGGAGAATGCCGATTTACGAGCCCGGAAGTGACCGGATTTCTGGTCCTAGGCAGAAGTAGCCGTTGGCCGCGTTCATCGATGGCGCTGGTGACGTGCACTGCGGCGGGCGGTTTGAAGGCGTTGAGCGGTCGGGCGTTGTTGTTGCCGCGCGGATGGATCCGCTGCCGCGAGGGAGGGACGCGGCCA